TTGCTCGTGGTGATGTTCTCGTTTCACTTTTCAATTTATTCGTCGTCGATATGAGCATGACAAAGGACCTATCCAACACTCATGTGCGTTGCATGCCAGTATTTCTTCACTCTCAATTTGCTCCCGTTCATTCTATTTCGGCAAAGATTGATATCACGCGATGGCTTCTTCAACCCCTACAACTTCGATTCCGCTTCAAGAACCAGTATTTTACCAGTTCCTTCACGATGTTCATCATGCATATCTTCTCCTACATCGGGCGATGGCTTTACTCCCTCCAACTCTTATTCCCAATATTGAACCGACACCATTACCTAGCACTGGAGTCTGGAACCAACCCGAGGGCCTTCAGCCAGAATATTCGGACTCTACGAACGCTTTCATCGATGCCGTGCATTTTCCTCCACCTGACCTTGATGAAGAAGAGGACTTCATGGATGACTTGTTGCAGCACAACCTTCCTGAGCCCCACCAACACGTTGCCGCCCCTCCACCGGATGCCCTCCCCGACCCTTCCAAGCTCTCGTCCATGGCATCTACGCCTCCCAAGCGAAAACAGAAGGCCAAAGCTACGCCCAAAGCTCCTGCAAAACGCCGTCGCACTGGGCACAAGTCACCCTCGCGTTCACCTAGCCCTTCGACTACTTGGACAATGGAAGAAAAACAAAAACTTCGTACCTTGAAATCGGATGAAAAATCCAGGTTTTCATGGCGTGTGATTTCCACCAAGATGGGCAAGACGGAGACGAATGTTCGCTCGATGTGGAACCAGATCAAGGACAAGCTTGGCTGATTACCTGGATTTCGTTTTTTACAATTCGGAAAAGACCTGCGGCCACACCCTTTCACAACCTTTGCAATTCCCCTCTGCTTGTTTCACCCTTTAAACTTGATTGACTTTGATTGTCTATACGCAGCCAGTTATTTCTTAATATGTCCCTTCGCTCTCATTTGGATCGGTATTGTTTGCAACGCGCCATGGCCCGGGACGAAATTTCGCCTTCTACACGATCCCGTTCTCCGACTCGAGCACCTTCTTCTTCTACGGGTACCTCACCATTTCATCGACCACCGGGTTGGACACCCCCCTCTACTACACCACATCGTCCCGTTATTTTACAATTGGATTTGAAGCCCATGCAGCAACTTGCTGACAGGAATCCGTACTTCAACATTTTGGCACCCAAGGTGGCGGGCAACCTCCCAACGGCAAAATATGACAGCCTTTTTCAGACTTTCAAAGTGATCTATCCGGACTATGCCAGCCGCCACTATGTCTCAGACCTAAAGACCTTGGTGATGGACACCATCTTGCAGCGTTGGTCAATACACCTTCAACCCACGGACTTCTACATGATGATCGATGCGGACCAAGGCACTCAAATACTGGATGACTTACCTCACTCTATTTTGGACGTCCTGAATTGGTATTACCCTGCTTGGAAAACGCATCAACACCTGGATGCCTTCACCTCTCGCGAGTCCTCACCTCTTCTATTGACACCGCATTCTGGCCCAAACGACACTGGTCTCTTGGTGCATATTCAAATCATTCCTCGAGGGCATCCCTTCTATGCGCCTATGCGACCTTCTACATCTTGAGAGCATCATGACATACTGCGCGTGATAAAAAAGACAAATCTTCGTCACTCATGGTTTTCTCGGGGTTTCCTTGAACATGTTTTGCTTTTGTGGCTTCCGTTGACTCTTATTCTTCCTCTTCCATTTTATTCCGACACTCCTGGCTCCAGCCTCTGATTATCACGCACATTCTTAGATCATGGAAACCGAGCCTTCTGAAGCCCTTTTGGACGATTCACGCCGGCTGGTGCTCCCATCGTCGACTATGACCTCTACCAATATGATACCGCCAAGTCAACAGATTGAAGATACTACATCAGCCTCATACATCCCTCGTATGGCCCGAATGATACCAAACTCAACTACTGTTCATACTATTTTCATCAAGAAGTTCACCTACCCTTGACATCACGACCGGATGAACTTTGGATCTTGGAACGTACAGACGATGGCAGAGAAACTTGGAGACCTTTGGAAACTTTCCTGGAGAACCTCCATCTTACGCATGATCCGGCTACACTTCGCACCACAGCCAATCAATGGCGACAGTACTACGAGGTTCCAATTATTTCGTCATCTACCTCTATGGCATCACTTTTTCCGGTTCTACCACATCCCGAACATACGAATGTACATTTTGGACAACCGGTTTCGGCTATTCCTGATCAGATTCATATTCTCCAATCGTGCTGGGGACGCTCAGCTCAACATCACTCACAAGGCACACCTACATCACTTTATTGGCCACCTTGGAGATCTACACCACCATCTTCGCCACCTGAACCCATCCGCAGATCTCTTACTCCTACTACGACAACGGCGCCTCCGCGTGAACCACATGGACAAATACCACACGAACAACCTGGTCCTATGGATATGTCAGATTCCAGTGTGTAAAGACTCACCTCAATTTGCGACGCAAAGGAAAAATGATACAACATCGCTTTCGAACATTTGCTCCGTTCACCTTGGTTGTATCCTCATGACGTATTTCTCCTTCTTTTTCGAGAACACTGCAGCTTTGGCTCTATTCGTTTCATCGCGACGCCATGGCCCCATCTTCATCTCGCCCTCATCCATATCGAGCCACTTCGGACGTTGGCACACCCAATGGCACTGTACCTGCCTCATGGTTTGCAGGACCGGGTTGTCTCCCAGGAGGCATCAACCCACCTCCATACAGACCCGTTTTGGTCCTGGTGGATTACTCTCCGTTGCAGGAACTGACGCATCGTAGTGAACCTGACCATGCTTTATACAGTGTTCTAGCCAATCCCAATTTCAAAAACGTCACTGCTGGAGAACTAGAAGCCCTTTTCACTTGGGCCCGTCACTTTCTACCAGACGAAGCTGGCATTCTACCATTCAGAGATCTACGTACAGCATTGACAACTCGTCTACGCACCCAGTGGGACATCCACATGGTACCCTCAGATTTGGAATTCCGCTACGCTAACCTTCAAGGAGACGTTTTCCCGACTGGACCATCATACAACTTTTAGAAGAATATCGACCTGAATGGCGCATCCGGCAGTACAACTACATCGAATCTACTCGGCTGGTTCCGGGCACTGCTCAGCCTTTTGTTCTGCGACTACAACGCCACAAAGTTCGTCAAGGTGTTTTCCTACCTTAATTTTTACATTTGAAGGACCTTGCGTGCGCTATGACAAAATGAATCTCGTCAACTACTCCGATGACTTACATCATGCCTTGTATATCATTAGATTTCTTCGATCAATGAATGGCGGATGCAGCGTATCTACCTTTGATGCTCCTTGTCATTCCACGTTGTTCCTGGTTGGTCACATTTTTCGTCCCCTCAGCTTTTGGTTTTCTCAAATTTTCATCTGAGTTATTGTTTCCCCCATGGAGAACAAGCGTGACGCAACTTCAGCGGGCTTGGGATGGCCTTTGACCTCGAATCGCGGAACCCACTCTACACTCGTTCCCGATGCAAGTACTATCGATGCCTCTACAAACCCGACCTCGACTCCTTCGGCATCTTTGGAACCAATGAGTACGTCTAGTGACCTAGCGGCGGCGGCACCTATGGACACATACTCAGCCCCTCCTCAACCTGCAGTTCCTTTCCCGACACACGATCCTCCACATTTCAGTGCTCACCGCCATGCACACTTTACCGCACGAGTGGTTCATCAGATTCACTTCAAGATCTTTACACACTCCAACAACGAACGTGAGCTATTTATTGAGGAGATACCAACTTCGGGAATTTCTAAATGTCGAGATCCTGAACACTTCTTCTATGGCCTCTCGGGAAATTGGGAATGGTCCTTGCAAACTGCAGATTATTGGCGCCATCATTTTGAAATTCCTCTACTACATGGGAACAATCCTTTTCGCAACGTAGCCATTGAGACGACTCCATCGCCAGACGAAGCAGGACATGTCACTACTATCCCGGCTTTGGCCAGGCAGTTATCGGATTCACTGACGGCAGCTACGGCATCTGGGGAACTTAGCGACCCATGGAGAATGGTGGCACACATGAGCTTCCACGACGCGATCCAAGTTCTGCAGCAAGCTTCGAGCTCAACTTCTGAATAGACTGACAGCAGCCTTGTAAGTCACAATTTCGAAGGTTCACAACAATTCGTGCATCGACACGTAAGACCGCTATATTCTTCCAAAAATGAAACCCTGCTTTGGCAGGGTGTGTGTGTGACTCATCTGTAGAGATGTAAAACTTCGACGTTTGTTCGTTTTTTTGTTTATGCAGGGGGCATGCGGCCATCATGCAAACGCATGCCAACGAAGCTATGCATGATGGTGGAAGCCGGGGCTGATCACCCTGGTGTACCTGCATTGTTGTGACTACCTGTTGTTCAGGGTTTGCTTCCATTCAATTGTCAATGTCTGGTGATGGGAAGAGGCTCAACCCAAGAACCTCCAAGTCAATTTTATTTCTTCACGGTTGCCACAATCTGTATTTTCGCCGAAACCATGTCGCCGATGTATTTTGCTCATTTCGCCGAAACCACATCGCCGATTGTATTTTGATTTTTTCGTCAATATCATGTCGCCAATGTATTTTGATGACGTTTTTGGACATGGAGACCATGCAGGAGAACTTCTATTATTTGAAGATGCATCGTTGATTTCTTTGTTTCCTATCTAATCTGCATGTTTCAGGATTCAGTTCCTGCCGGATCACTCAAATGATCCATTCTTGTCTAGTGTGTGTGTGCAAGATCTTACTTTGATGTATCATCATACAAATGCCACTGTGAATCATGACCTTATCCCGTCATCATTTCGAGTCATAATGTCACATAATTTCCAACTCAAATGGAGTGTCTAAAACAAAACCAGAATACCAACAAATCAAAAGTGCTTTCATTTCTAAAACATGACCAGAATTTGGGATGGGGATGTGCAATTGGGGTCCTACCCACCTCAAGGCTTGAACTTCAGGTCCGGCGGCTCCATAAACCCCTTAGGCCAAGCGGTTTTGGAAAGGCCCAAACGGTCCCGAAATCCGGAAGAGTTTGGTGATTCAAAGTGAGCTGGTTGGTGGTTGAGCCACCCCCCGTGGAAAAAATGTTGGTCAGGGGCGACCGGGATCATACATGTTTGAAACCACGAAGGTACCAGTGAACCGAATTTCGGTGGTCCTGAAGGCATCCTTTTTGGTCTCACTTCGCTGCGCGGTTCGGTACTACTAGTACGTCACTGTCGCGACACATCAAAGTGTCTGGCCTGCTTTAAGAGCTTAGAGCTTACACGCCTGTGGGTCAAAATTGGGGTATCCCAAAATGGATGGTCATGTTCCAGGTCCATAGGTCCACACTACTCAAAAGCGACCAAAATCTGCAGGCTCTTGGGTCTTAAATTTTGACCTATACTCACGACACCACACAAAAGTGGGCAGCTCCTATGACGGCAGAAGCTGCTGCTCCTGTAGCAACACCTAATGACCCTCGGAAGCTGAAGGCCACGGATCCGATCTTTTCGGTCCAAGATTTGTTACACGACTCTTCAACCTGGTGTTTGACGGATTCTGCAACCTTCACTGCCACCTGGTCCCTCACTGCCAAGCTGATCTTATTCCAAGCTTGGCGGAATTCACTGCAACTTGTAGTCGCAGGCGTCATCTCTATCCACGCCTTCCGCTCGATCACCTTCTTGAAGAAATTGAGCAGCGCACCAAGCTCTTCTGGTTCGATCTGGCGAACGTGGTGGCCATTAAAGTCCATGTGTTTCCACATCTCCATGGCGTCTTCAAACCCCTTCTGAATGATCTTCTCAACCGACTTTGACTTGAAGACGCGATGATAGAGTTCCCTTGCTTCCATAGCCCTATCCAGGATCAAATCCCGATTGGCAACTGGATTTCCCAAAGGAGAAGTCCCGAGATTGCGTCCATTCTCCACAAAAACGGCATTTTGCACGGCAGACTTCAAGATGTCTGGGAAAAAGGCCTTCCTAGTTGGTGCTTTCAACCCATCCCCCAAAATGCCAAGCAATGAGACAATTAATGGTCGGCAATCCCAGGATATCTGAGGTGGGATGGAAAATAGAAATGAAAACATTCAAACCCACCAGCTAGCTTCATTGCTCCCTTGAATTCATCAAGACTTGCTTGTTCCACGGGCTGTCTAGCAGAGTCTGCATGTGTCACCACGAAGACATACCGGCGGGCAATTTCCTTCTGGGCCTCATCGTCGTCTGCAAGCCCGGACAGAATTATCTCTGGCAGGAACCTGTCGATATAGCCCATGCGGTCCTTCTTCACAACGTGCACAAACAGGTCCACACCGGCCACAATATCCACCGTTGCCCGCGACAATTCTCTGATCGTCTGTGCATCACTCTTGTCCGGATCACCAAAGCCTGGGGTGCCAATCAGCTCAAGAAGTCTTGAAGTGCCATTGTGATCGACTTCACCACTGAAGACTTTCCTTGGCTGGAAGGATCCGATGGGAAAAATGTTGGGCGAATTATATAACAAAGTAGTAGACACAACGCCCCAATGCGTTGGTGGGAACAACTGGAACGGCCTCACCCTAGCCCGACAACTGACCCTTACAGCGTGTGCAAAGCTCTACAATCTGGATTGAAAGGAGGAACAATTGAAACCAAACCTGAGGCTCTCAGCCCTTTGCGTGCACCCGCGTGCTGATGCTGCTTCCTCGGCAATGATTCTGTTACCGCTGGGATCAACCAGGAGATTTATCAAAGTGCTTTTTCCGGAGCCGAAGCTGCCCACAATGATGATGACGAACGGACGGGTATACACAAAAGTGTTCCCTCCTAGGCTTTCTGCCCGAAGCTGATGAGCTCCCATGCTCTGAATGAGGTCACGAAGTACAATGTTCCTGGTCCATCCACGCCCCCCTACATTCACATTGCATATGGGGCAGCGTCCCTCAGGATTCTGTCGGAGATAGGTTTGAAGGGCGTCTGCTGAAAAGCTTTGTCCACACTGCGGACACACCACCGGATCTTGGAGCATTTCATGGGTGATGGGGCACATCAGCTCATGCCTGGCGGGATGCAACAGAGTCATGGTTCGCAATGGTCTGCCTGTCTTCTTTCGTCAGGCTTTGATCCAAGATCTTGACACAAGCAGCGCTGTGAGTCAAAGCTGTTGAGGCTACAAACTGTTGGCAGCTGCCAGACATGAGGGTTTCCATAAATGGGGGTACCCCTAAATCATCCACTTTAATTGGATTTTCCCTTATAAACCATCCATTTTGGGGTACCCCGGTACCCCCATTTATGGAAACCCCCAAATGGGAACCACAGCTCCCCAGCATCAAACACCCAGCTCTGACCTCGCCGAGATGCTTAGGGGCTCGCCGCTGCGGGCTGCGCTCCAAAGAAGAGCCTCACCATCCTCAAAGGCTCGGTGCTGGTCAACAAGATGGATTGGTCTTTAAAAATGGGCCCTTGTTGTGCTTGATGTGGAAAATACAATGGAAAGTGTTAAAATGATGATGATAAACCCGTGGATGTTTGATATGTTAGCCAAGTCTTCAACACATCAACATTGACAAGACACAGTGATATTGGGGGAACTGGACCCCATTCAGCAGAGATCCCTAGCACATTTGCTCCTCCCATATCTACCAGTTAATGGTTTCAGCATTAGTAATTAGTGCTGTGAGATCATCAGCCCTTTTTAAAGAGACGGCAAATAAAGAATGATGTGAATCACTACTGTAACCAATAATCAATATTGAATATTCCCTTCCCTCACAGATGCTCTCCCATTCTCTCCCAGAAATCCAGATCATCCCATGGACGAAGCCGAGGAATCTTTTCACTTTGGCTGTCTTGGGCCGATGTTTGGAAATGAAACCACCCTGCTTGTGGGTCAAGATTCACCATTTCTGATGGTGATGGACAGCCATCACCTGCTAAAACTTTGGCTTTAACTTTTGGTCGAATAAATTGTCTGTAAATCCATCTAACCGAATCTAACCCCAAAAACACCCAAAAATCGAGATCTATATGACTGTAATCCATCCATAAGACCACCATAAAACCATCATCACAGAGGGTCACCTGGGCCACGGCAATGCCGCCAGGTGACCTTCCCCGAAGTTACGAAGTAGTGCCCCAATGGCGCCCAGTCCACACACCACACAGGATCCGCCTGTCCTTGGTGCAAAATTCTTTCCGAGCCATGGCTTCACTGAATCCAATGATTCAACCACGGCCATTTGTTTACAACGGGTCTCTGGCGCAACTCCTGAGCCCCAAGTCTTCTGGTATGCATTGAACATTTCAGTGCACCAGTAAGGTGTTTTTCTTTTTTAAAGTGCAACCTGGAGTCGGTAGGACAATGCCAAAGTGCTGCTGCGCGTATTCCACAGCCTGGAGGCTTTCACAGATCAAAAGTATGCAGGTCTATGACCAGAGCGACTTGGCTGTTTGGTGGCATCAACAAAATTCCAGAAAAGATGCTCTACAGGTATTGTGACTTGGGGTGCAAGGTCAAATGCAAGGTCAATTTTTTGTGGATAGAAAAGTCATGTCTGAACCATCAATCACGAACCAGTCTGAAACCAAAAAAAAATGGTTTGCAAAGCTGGTTCAAACCACTCAGCAGCTTTATGATTGTGAGGAGCAAATGTTTGGTCCAAACCTGGTCTCCAGGAAAGCAATGTCACCCGCAAATATGTGGGTGAATTAATTGATATATCATATCTAGATAATCTCATGTACATCGAATTGCTGAAGGCAATTCAGGGTGATCTTCCATGTCTCCTCTATCTACCCAATCTTGACAGTCATTTACTGTGAGGTTCGTTGAGTTTAAGGTCCCCATAAATGATCCAGATCCCAAAACATCCCAGGATGCAACGCCGTGGCACTGGATGCATCCATCTTGTCCTCCGCTTAGAAGGAGTTCCTGAGCTCACACCAGTGCTCATCCAGACGATGGCAGGTTCAATCAATCCCCGCTGGAAAGCCCAATTCGATAAACCCACATGTGTTCCATGTTTTTTTTGAAAAAATATATATCAAATAGTATTAATAGTGACCATTATTGGCTTCACCCCATTCTGAATATCAGTGAGGGCACCCAGATTCCAAGACTTTCTCAGCTCCAGGACTAGGCGTCTCCCACAGGGGGATCCGCTGCTGCCGTGCGTCGGAGTTTGGGGAAAAAGCCGTTGACAGCACACGGCCGCCGTGGCACCCTAGCCGCTGACCTCTGCGCAGGGCTCAGCCAGGTAGATCCACCTCTTGAAACCCTCAAAAAAAGATAGACAAATCATTTTTCCAGGATGGAACATAGATACATATATATATATATATACATCTATCTGTATATAATCAATTGTATGTATGTACATATATATATATATACATAGATTGTCTTTATCCCATAATAATGTCTGTTCGACTCTTCTTCCCTCTGTTGGGTATGCTTCTTTTATGGTGTGGGTCAAATCAACGTTATGGTGTTTTGGCTTGGTATCATCTCTATCATTGGTCATGCTTCACCACAACACACTTGAGAATCAACTGTGCCACCTTGACATTCTACAAAAGTCGTCCAACCGGCCAGGGGTAGCGTGGCTCATCGGACCGGAATCGGCCATGGTGGAACGAAGCATTTTGACCAACGGACCTTTAGAACTCCGGTTCCTATCCTTAATTCTTAGAAGAAGTAAGAATCTAAAGAATCTAAAGAAGCTTTTGCGACAAGTCAGGGGTATCCAAAAAAAACAAGCGCTCGTTAGATCGATGACAACTGCCATTGCTTCCATCTCCACCTACATATCCCCTGCAGCCAGGCCTTTCAGTCCCACCGTGGAGTCTAAGGAAGGGCCCCAACGAGAGTCAGCATGGAAGATCCTGGCCATTCTCAATGGAACACCAGGGTCTTTGTTGGTGATGCAGGGATGGGGCGGATGCGGGTGCATCTCGGTCAACACCCAAAAAATGCAAAGGAACAGTCTGGTAATAGTAAGTACGTCCACATGGTGGGCAAAAAAATGCATGATGAACACTTAGTACAAATGGACCCAAGTGTGTGCAACCTGAAGGGTCCTGAATTTTGGCCCATGACCCACATGTTCATGGGCAACCAAAATCAACCCTTCTAAGAATGCGTACGGTCCAAAAATGAGGTAACAATACAACCAAAGCCAATTCTGATAATTCTGAAGCCAGGAATGGAGGCTTTTAATTGAAAGGTCCCTCAAACCCCTCCATCAGCCGTGGTCCTCACATCACGATCGCACCCCGCGGCACAGAAGCGTTGGTCATCGGAGATGCTTCCCACATGCACCGGGACCTCCGGAGCTGTGTCAAGCAGCAGCGAAACGATGGAGGCCGGACGATGCAACTCATCCTGGGCCGCGGTGAGGTCTCGCCAGTTGGGCTTCAAATTTTGATCCCTACGAGTACCATATCATGAGGTTCCTGACTTCGGGGTGCCGTTGCAGTTTTGAGTGGATATACAACCGTAGTTCCAGGGGTAGTATCCCAACTTATGGGATCAACATAGTTATAGCATCTTATAGCGATTTGTTTCATCCCAACTGCACCACAACTGCACCACCGCCCTGACTGAGCAACCTGGACTGCTGTAGGCTTGGAGGGTAGCGGCACTGTCTTGGAGGACGTGGTTTTTCCTCAGGTTTTGGAAAGGGAACCACCCAACAGCCACGGTTGTTGGGGGTACTGGAAAAGGCATTCTTCGTGTGGATTCAACCAACTCCCCTGGGCTGATAGGGCTTATGAACCAGCAACAACCACGTTTTTTTTAAAGGCGAATCTTAACCAGCTATCATCCGGAGGATCACCGAACTGGGGAGTGTTGCACACACTTGAAACATCTTGAAACATCTTGAAACCACCAGCCCCAAATCCAGGCGTCTCTTCTTTGACTTGTCATCCGCGGACACAGTGAGAGCCGTTTCGCAGAAGAGAGCTGAGCTGGTGGGCTGCTGCTCGTGCTTCACACGCACGGTATCAAAGAAGATATCCAGCAAACTCGTCCTTGAAATCACAGGCTTCATTGAAACCCACAAACACCTTGGCTTTTAATGGAATATATGGGCATATTTTACCAACACTAGGAATCCTCTGGTTGTTGTTGTTGAGAAACCACCAGCGACTTGTTGCTGGGGATTTTTATCCGCCGAAGTCGGAGGTTCAACTGAGCTTTTGGATTTTTCTGTTGACTGCATTGATAATTGGGTACAGTATGGGTGGGTCCAAACCCGAAATGTCGTTCAAGTGGTTGCTCCATAGGGATTCTGATAATGCCGAATACATTGAGGAATATAACCCTCCTACAATCATCAAGACACAGGGTTAGATCCCAGGCACTGCTATGGCTGAAAGCCATTTAAAACCTGCTATCCTTGCGATCTTGCGATGGATGTCAGTAGATTGTTGGCACAGGTGGTCAATAGATTCATGACTTCTATAACATTGTAACATTGACAAATATCTATTGAAACGTAGTATATGGGGAAATGTATGGGGTCGTCGTCGTCGTCGTCGTCGTCGTCGTCGTCGTCGTCGTCGTCCTCGTCCTCGTCCTCGTCCTCGTCCTCGTCCTCGTCCTCGTCCTCGTCCTCGTCCTCGTCCTCGTCCTCGTCCTCGTCCTCGTCCTCGTCATCGTCATCCTCATCATCATCATCATCGTCATCATCATCATCATCTTCTTCTTCATCGTCATCCTCATCCTCATCGTCATCCTCATCATCATCATCATCATCATCATCGTTTTCATGATTTTCAAACCATCCTCCCATTATTTTCCATAATTTCAAGCGTCATGTCTGGACGCCCAAGGTAGCTTAAAAGCAGGTGATGCGACAGCTGCGACATGAAGACTTCGCGTTTGCCCTCGCTGCTGTCGCTCTTGGCCCGCCGCCGGTCTGCGGCAACTTCCGGGGTGCATGGGTGAACATAGATGTCAAATCTCAAGGTCATTCAAGATCCATGTGTATATTTATGTACCATACACCATAAATACATTTACATACACTTACAGTACATACGTTTACATATAGTTACATTGCATTTACATACATTTACATACTGTATGCCTAGAGAGACCTAGAGACCAACGTCAAGGACTTTGGGTAGAGACCATTCAAATATCCGATATCCCTTCGCCTCGACGCAAGAGATCCTGGTACCTGGCATTGAAGCGCTTCGCACCTCAGGGCGGATCTCCCTTGGGTTTAGTCACTTGGGTTTAGCCATTTGGGTTTCATTCATCCAATTTTCTGGATGAATTCTGATGGTTCACTAACTTGAATTTTGGGCACAGTTACCTCAATCCAAGTCCCATCATTCCAGTGACGTCGCCAATTTGTGGGCAAGCTGTTTCAACCACGTAGAGCCCCAAATGAGTCCAATGACCAGCAAATGACCAACAACAACAGCAGGAACAACAACAACAACAACAAATAATAATAATAATAATAATGATACAAGTAATAATAATAATAATAATAGATATAGTAATATGAGTAATACTAATAATACTACTAGTACTACTGATTATAGTAATACTACTAACACTACTAATACTAATAATACTAATAATACTGACAATACTAATAACACTAATAACACTAATAATACTACCAATACTAGTAATAATACTACTATCTAATACGTCTAATACTACAACTACAGCTACAGCTATAACAACAACTACAACTACGACAACTACAAACATAAATACCATCAGAATCCACCGGATCTTGGGGTCTGCATCAAACCCCCTAACCCCCTGCCGCTGGATGCAAGTGAGCCACTGCCTTCGCCCTCCTTGACGCTGCGAGGCCCAAAGTCTTGGGACCCAACAAATTCCCATGGTTTCATTTCCAAGTCAAGATGGCTTCATGGTTTGTTATTGTTCAAGGTGGGATGCAATCATCATAAATCATACCATATATCATCAAACATTTTATGCAATGGAGAATCCCCTCAGCAATGCCCAAAAGCTTGCAACAAGGGTTCCCCATGTTCACAGATGATGCCCCCCAAATTATTGAAGATGTCCCATGATTGGATGCTGGTGCTTTCTGCCCAACTGGATGCAGGTGCTTTCCGCCCATATTTGGACGAAACCCCGGTAATCCCCCGACTTTCCAATGTCACGATCAAATTCAATGCGCTTAAATCATCTTGAATCCATCGTTGTTGGTAAAACCACCTGGCTTCAGCGGGCTACCTCGTGTTTCACCCAGAGCCCAGACAAACCCAAATGATCGTTATAGTTTTATCCCCATAACATCCCATGATATATTCATTTTTGATTGATTAAAAGTTAAAAGACGCTGGTCAAATCACCATTTTGATACTTAAAACACTTGTTTTGGTGGTTAAATCACCATGTGTGTTGGTAATTTCACCATGTTCCCTTTCTCTACATCACCTTTTTGTGTTGGTTAAATCACCTTTTTGTTGACCCCCGCCTCACCTAGCTCCGCCCAGCATCCACTCGTGTCAGTTCAGTGGAGACCACTGAGGCTAGAGGTCCAAGGGCGGAGAGCAGTTCGTCGAGAACTGGAGGCACCTTGGGGCAGTTATTGCCCTAAGAGTTACCCTCTGTAGTAGACTAGTAAAAGAACATGCCGCGAACTGGAAAATCACATCTTTACTAGGGAAATCAACTATAAATGGGCGAACCATCTATAGTTGGATAACCATCTATAGTTACAGGCAATATAATATTATATGATATTAATTATAGAACTATGTATGGTTGATATACTATAGTGGTAATAAAAATAAGCCAAGCTATTGGAGCTATAATTCCATTGATCATGGCCTTATGGGCTTATGAAAAAAATATCAAGCCTAGTTATAGGAGTTAGAATTCTATTGATAAAATATGTATAACTGTTGGGCCATAACTAGCACCCAAATGCTGGTGTAGATGTACAGATAATATTTGGTGTTTGATGGTGATTCACCAACAGACATTTTTGGATTTGGGGGAGGATTGAATAGGATATAGAAGCTAGTTGTCTAGTTGTCTACATATATATATATATTCTATATATATATATATAGCAAAGTTCAAAAAAGATGCCAAGAGCTGGACAGTTGGGGGAAACATCATCTATACTGTCCATTGTGGAAAAGCTGTTTGGCATCTTCTTGGGGAATTCACCTGCCTTCTTTTAAGGTCATTTGAAGATGATTCCTACCAACCATGATCTACGGTGACGTCGCATGTCATTATAATTCACCTAGAGTATATATTACAATATACATAGATATTTATATATATTGTGAGTAGATCAAACTTCCCCACACTGGTAACGGGCCTCCTCCACCAGTTCCTCAACCAGATCACGGTCAGACTCTTTTCCCAAGCAGGCAAGAGTCCCTCGAACACACGGAGGCCAGCAAATCCCTAAATGAAATGGATGTATCTCCTCGCACCAATGTTTGGACCCCTGGTCCTTTGCAAGTTGTAAAGAGTGGCCACACTCGCCAATTGCTCAAACACGGATACCTATGGATTTTCCACCCACTTCCTCCCACAAGGGTTCGCCTGAACCAAAGGTGCTACAACAAGGATGCTGGAGTACCTGTTGGTGCATGGTGGTAAACATCGATCTGACTGAAGTGCAATGACATGGATTCACATTCCCAAAAAATCAAAACTTTCGAGAAAACATATGTCATTGCAAGGGTTGGAACTTCGATCCTGAGTCTCACCTCTCAGCCATCGCAGTCGATTTCGTGCTGATGCACGATTTCTAAGGACTTCCAGTTCATCGTGGAGTTTGTAATGTCCTAACTTCAAGGTCTCTCTCAAAAAGCTGTTCTCCATGATCTTGGTCAAAGCATCTGCTAATTGAGCACCTGAGTGTACCCAACGTAAGGACACGTTTTCATTCAGTAAGTCCTTAATCACCCGGGCTGTTAATTGAGTGCGGAATTCTGCGCAACTGGGCATTGCCGTACGACTCACTAGATCGAAAAGAGATTTACAGTCTGTCGCTGCGAAGGTTTCTGGAAGTTGTTTGGCATTCAAAGTGGCTGTTGTGTATGTTTCTGGCAGTTGTTTCAATGTTTGATGGGGAGATTTCCATTTGGTATTTGGGTCGAGAATCCACGCCCAACACAACCGGATCCATGAAAGATGGTCAAGAACCGAATTAAGCGAAGTAGTTTCGGCTGCTAGGGTACTTGTTACCACTCTCTGAATTTTCTTACAGCCCCATGAAATGGCATTAACTGGACAGGTGATGTTACTGCCAATATCCTTATGGGTGGCCATAATTAATGTTCCAGTATGTGAGTTGGGATTGCTTTTCGAGGCAAATGAAGCATCGGAAAACGCAAGGAATCTCAAGTCTCTAGTGTGGATGGATTGTATTTTGATGGTGACATCATGGTGCTTTTTGGCTTCGTGAAGTGCTTGGTTGGCTGTCATGAGGGTTTCCACTGTGGCACTGTTTATTGAGGATTGTAGGTTACTGAGTCGACTCGACAAATCGGGTCTAGTGTGGACGGATGCGTACTGTAGGCTGCCAATTAAGGCACGCAGTTGTTGTCTCTCGTCTTCTGTCACTTTCTCATCAGGTTGTTTGCGTCGTTCTGGTGAGATTTTAATGGGATCAATGGCTCTGACGTATTTTGATTGTGATAAGTGAATTGTTCCATCTGATGATTGTTGAATGTCAATTCCTGTGAAAGTGAAATTGTTGATACGTTTACTTCCAAAAGGGTACTTCTTTTCCAAAAGTTCAAGTTTCTGAAGGAACTGTTGGTTTCCCGCACACAAACCGTCGTCCACATGAAGTCCCAAGATTCCGTCAGGCATCTGGGTCTCGTGGTTTCGCAAGACAAACAGGCATGGATCAAAAGGCGATTGTTCAAAGCCTAAGGTCACCAATTCTTCCAGGATCGCTTGATACCACATGAACGGTGCATCCACCAAGCCATAGGCTCCTTTTTCCAGTTTGCAGATTTCTTGAGGGGTCAACTTCATCATCTGAATTATTTCAGGTACTGGTTCTATAGCAAGGATTCTATCCTTTTGGTTTTTCCCTTGTAAAAACGCAGCCTTAATGTCAAATGATCTGAGTGCCCACTTCATAGAAGATACAAATTGAAGGAGTAACATTTTGGAATGTCTGCCTAGTGTTGGGGAATCCCGTGGTACTTCATCTAATTTTGGGTCTAGGTATCCCAGAATTACCAGTCTTGCTTTGGCCTTGTAGTTTTTGGTACCTTTCATTTGTTCTCTTTCTACATCATCAATTGGTTTCCATGTTAAGATCCATCTGCATCTGAGAATTTGGTCCTTGGGAACTTGATCTCTGAGAATACGGGATATGGTACCTGTTCGCAACCAATTTTGAACTTCTTGGGTTTTGGCCTTTTGGAATTCGGCTTTTTCATCTGAAGTTAATTGGGTCAATTTAACTTCTGCCCTCTGACGCTTTGCGGCTGATGCTATGAAAGCACATTCCATGGGGTTATCTTCCAGCCTCCATTGTTGGATTTCATGATCTGTGACATAGATCTCACACTGCCAGGCTTGATTGGATTGCATTGTCATGGACTCGGGCTCCATGTCATGGCAGTGCAGGGCATCACATGCTAGGTCGTCATCAACTCCGTCAACACCATCAGGGAGTGGTGTATTTTGGGCTGTAAACTCTCTAGCCATATCCCTAGTAGGATCTAGTACATTTTCGGGATTGGGTGGTATTCCATGACTTCCTGATGGGGTGGAATTACTCCCTGTCGCCCCTGGTTCAGCGTCAGGTTGATTTTCCGAGAGACTATCTTGAGTGGATGGATTATTAATTTCAGGATTATTGAGTTGAGGATTATTATTGGGATTCTGGCTTATGGGAGTTGCTGTGGGTGGATCTGCTGATGGTAGTGGTACATCTTGATATGGTACAGTTCTTGTGATAGTCTGATTGGATATACTTTGGGGTATCTGCTGAGCAATCTGCGATACTGATGGTTCATTGGGTAGGATGACGATGTTCCTGGCTTCCATCGCAGACACTGGTCTCACATGTTCTGGAGCTGCCCTGTACAATTTGCTTGTCATGGAAGTCCAAATTGTTTGGGGGTTTTCATGAACAACAACCTTCATGGGTCCAGTCCATTGACCGGGGTTAGCTCCCTTACCCTCACGCCATACCATTACCCATTCCCCTGGATTATATTGTTGTGGATTCCCATGCGATTTTCTAAGGATAGCTTTTCTCAAGGCGGAGTCATTGTCGGCCATGACAAAGGCACGCCGTGCACTTTCTCTTCGTGCCAGCTGTTGTCTGAATTGGACACCCTGTGAGGTTTCTGAGTCTGCCAACATGTGAGCTGGAAGTAGCTCATCACTACAGATCGACCCCGGAAGTCGGGTCTGCTTTCCTAGAACTAATACTTCGGGTGAATACCCTTTTCGGATGCTGAATGCGTTCTTGGCCTGGACGCACCACCACAGTCCTTGTTTTAGCTCTGTATAGGAAGTGATTGGATGTTCCTTTTCATACTTGGAAAGCATGTTTTGCAGAATTGCCCCATGTCTTTCAGCCTTACCATTCTGGAAATGGGCTTCAGTGCTGATAGTTGTCACTCGTAGGTTGTTGGCCTGTGCAAAATGGCTGAAACTCTCCGAGTTGAATTCAGTGGCGGCATCCACTATCAACTCACTGGGTGTCCCTGCCCAGCTGAGCCAGCTTTGCGTGAAGCAATCTATGACTGCTTCGGTAGCACGAGAAGGAGCAGCACAGGCTACTTGGAAACTCGTGGACCAATCAACAAAGTGATAAAAGTGGAACCCTTGACCCTGAGCATTAACCCATGTTACCCCATCAGCACAAACTCTGTCATTAAAGTCTAAATCATCTCTGAGTTTCCCTGGGGATCCAGTTTTTGGTTTCAGCTGGGATTGGCATGTAGAGCATTTCAGCTCCAATGCTGCTCGGGCTACTTCTGGACGAAAACCTTGCTGACGGATGATACTGCTGAATTTTTCGGGGTTGGGATGTCCGAGATTCTTGTGGGCACGGATGAGTGCCTGTTGCTCTTCAGGGGCGAACTGGCGAATGTCTTGGTCTGCTTCATGTTTCCTAGATCCGTCTGCTGTGTCTCCGTCATTCCACTCTGTGGCTCGGGACTGCTTGATTCGCCTGAATGTGGCGCTGCGGCCGATGGGTTCTCACTTGAATTTGATTGCACCGTCATCGGAGCTTCTGGCCGAGGAGCCGTCGATGGAGATGCGGTTGCAAGATTACAAGCAAAGACGGTATATTCACGCGGCATGCATGAGACGGACGAATCAATTGGCGCTTAGCCAAATTCTCCCAGTTTTCCCACTCATCTTCAGCTTTCAACACCCCAGTAGATCTTTCGATGAAGATGCTTCTACGATATGGTGCTTCCCCTTTTGTCACATTTTCAGGTGGAGCAAGTGTTCTGTTGGTACCCCTACATGCGACTATCGTTACAACCTTTTTATCAAGAATAAGTTGCTGAATAGTGTTCACAATTGAGGGATCCGTCACAACAACCCTGCCAACCCTGGGTGCCAGTTTTTGTACTTCATCAAACACATCTTTCCACATTTGATCAACATTTAAGTTGGTGGTTTTCCCCGTGAACCTGGTGCGTTTTCCCCATGGTAAGTCTGTGATTTCTCTGGCACGACTGGGCTTCGGTCTTGCTTGGAGTCCAAGGCGCGGCTTCTTTGCGGGCCGCTCGCTTGGAGCAGTTTCACCTGCCAACGTCCAGTTCCACAGGCATTGGTCCTCCTCACTGCGGTATGGAAGTTCCCTGGGAATCTTCACACGACACAAGTTCTTGGCAACCCTTCTGGCAAACTTTCGGGGATAGTTTTCAGTGAAAGTAGATCTATTCACACTCTTTCCATGGAATAGGCATGTTCCCTCTATCTGTTGGTGTTGATGGTTCCCTTGGCATTTGAGACCGTGCATGTCATGGTACATGTTGCGTGATGATGTCATGATGGTTAAGGCTTTTCGGATGTGTAGCTGTGTGTTAGGGTCAATGAGGTTACCGGCTGTACAGAGATCTACTTCCATGGCCCATAAGTGCTGTCTGACTTCCTGCAAGTACGGCAATCGAAACATGTGTGACCCCTGGGGTTGTTCCCAGTGGAAATGATTTTCCTGGCTTCGTTGGTGATGCATGAGAACTACCCCTAGAGCTACTTGATCCAAGTGTTGAAGCCTACTCTGTTGGAGCACGTCCCAAGCTTGAATGGATTTACTGCCGTTAAGATTGGACCATCCACTCCAGGGTCCGCACTTGGGGCTGAACCAAATGTGCCTGGGTCGATACTTCAAAACGACCTGGAACAGTTTCTGACGGCCTTCTGGTGTCTGTAGATCACCTTCCGCCAAGCCGAATCGCATGGCTCTGTGGCCTAGCTGTATGCATTGGTGAGTTAATTGGCTCTGAGGATTACAAAACACTTCCAAAACATCGCATCTGGCAGTCGCAGTTGGGCTATGTGTGTTTTGACATACCTGCAGTTCATGAGACAACTGTTTGATCAACTTGTTGAACATGTTTCTCTCTACATTGGTCTCAGGTGCCTCACCAAAACATTCATCCACATGATCCTCGGGATCACCTGCATACAGAGAATGGGCCCAGCTAGGGCATGGATCTATTGGTCCTCTGGCGTGGGACCCGGATTCTCCAGGTGGGCCAGAATTCGGCTCAGGGCATCTTCCATGTGCAGCATTCTGGTCTCCAAGTGTTGAACTTGATTCCCATGCATCTCGGTGGCTGGGATGGACATCTCCTCCTCCGTCGGCAGTAGCTCGAAGAGCTCTTCCTCGTCCATGTTGGGCATGTTCGCCACTGGGACTTGATAGATCTGGCGGGGCGCCGCCTTGGGTTTCATCTTGGACTTCGCGGCTGGTGTCTTCGGCCCGACATTCAGAGGGATGTTCGTGCCCTCGAGTTCGGCACGTTCGATCTTGAGCTGCACAAAATGGAGAAACCGTTGGTGATTTTCCTTTGCAGACTTCTCGTACTTGTTGATGAACCACGTCACCCAATCCTGATGGCGTTCCCAGACTTCCTGATACTTCAGACCCAGTTGTGCCTGTCCAAAGTCTATCACACTGTCTTCCAATTGCTTCATCGAAATTGAACTTGGGCGTCTCTCCTGGCACTTGGAGGGCCTTCAGACGCATGCTCAAAGTGGACATGGCGATCTTTGGTCGGGATCTTGAAACTCTTTGCGAATTGGGCGTGGTTTGAGCACCGATGATCTACCGAATGCATCTGTTCTGTACACTGTTGGTGCTCACTGGCTGTGAGATTGGTGATGCCCCGTGAATTGGCATCTTTCACATCTTCATGCTGATTCGGTGGGTGACATGTATGAAGTGAAGTTTGTGAACATGAAGTTACTTGAAAATCATCAGTGTCTGGTGTTGAGGTGAATGAGTTGGAGGTCTTGTCGTGTGGTACATTGGAAGTTGCATTGACATCAGGCTGATGGAAAACTTTTGGCACTTCGGAAACTTGATGCGTCTCTGCGGCCTGTGGGGACACTTTCGTATCCACTAGGTCGTTCAGGTCCAAAAGAAACAATCCCTTTTCTGTGAGTTGGATGGGAATGGTCTTCGACACCTTAGTTGCATGAATCACCTTCTGACTGGTATCAATCACTGCACCCATCGCACGCAAAAGGGTGTTTGACAAAAGCAGGGGTGTCGATCCTGGCACAATTGCAATCCTAAGCCACATGCCAAAGACTGGAAGCACCAACGCATGTTCACTCTGTAGAGTGCCTTGATTGCCAAACCTGAATGTTATTGAACATGGACATCGACGAACCAATTTTCTGACATGACTGTTGAGACCATTCAACAAACCTTGAACCAATTGACTACCAATTACAGTCTTCGTGGCTCCTAGATCGACAACCCCCATGCTACTGTACGTGGCAAAAAGAGCTGGTGATTCACTATCGGCAGATTCACTCGGTTGGATCTTGGCTGATGCGGAATGGGCTGCGAGGCTTCGTCGCAATCTGGTCTTTGCGAACTCGATCGGATCGTCACTCCTGGGCTTGTGTTGATCATCGGAAAAACCTTTAGTCTTAAGCCATGTCATGAGTGCTTGTTTCAACTTACTCTTAGGGTTATAATCATCATTTACCCCCTCCTGACACGTGAAACAATATCCCATCTTAAGGTGAGTTTCATCCACAGGACCCTCAAGTGCTGGCAGGCTGAGGAATTCCAGTGGCAATCCATCGACTGGGCTGTCTTGGACTTGGACAAACGAGGCCGATGCTTGAGGGCGATTGCTCGCACTGGCCTCATGTCTGGTTGGACACTCAGCCTTCCAATGTCCAATCCTCCCACATAATCGGCAATGGGATGAGAGGATCCTCTGTTGCAGCGACCTTCGATTGGACTGGTGTCCTTTCTGGAATTTGCCCTTCACACCCTTGAAGGTAGGCTTGCCTTTCCCCTTTGAGGGAGGCCAAAAACCCCTTGATTTCACTTTGTCATTCAATCGCTTTCTGGCTTCGGCGTATGCATTGAAGGCACTAGCTAGTTCTTCATCATTTTGCAAAACTTCCGATGCAGCGACTTCGAAATCAGTGATCAGGACGGCATCTTCGTCCCCTTCCTGACAAAGGGCATCTATGGCATCCTCTTCTGTGAAGTCGTCACCTGTCTCAGCATGCAATGTGTTCGGTGGTTCTTCCATGTCCATGTTGTCAGACATGAAAGTAGAGGCATCATACGTTTTCAGTTTTCCTGTTTTCTTCCCGGATGTCATCTCCTGGAAGAATCCCGCCCCTAACATGCGAACTGCTGCTGAGACCTTGGTCATGGTGAGCTTGCCGTCAGTGCTAGTTTCACAATCTAACACCACCCGTTTCTTGTCCTCCGCACTCAGATTGGACCCTCGAAGCGTAATGTACGCCTGTAGGTCTTGGATATCCATGCTCTTGTTGGACAATTCTTGCCAAAGGATGTCGGCCCTGGCAAGATACGAGTCATTGGTTTCATCACTTCGTTGTGCACATCGAAACAAAGCACGTTCGGCCGCTTCATACTTTCTTTCCAATGGGATTTGTCCCCACTGTCCTCCAAGGAGTTCGACAATTTTCTGAATCGATTTCTTCTCATTGGATGTCACTTCTGAACTGTGCAGTTGTAACTTCTGGAATGCTGTACCTGAACAACCCAAAATGAGTCTTGTTGCAAGTTCTGTCCATTTTCCTTCCGGCCACATGTTCATCAACAATTGAACCTTCTTGGTGTACTCTAGAATCTCATCTTTGGCAGGATCAAATGTCGGTACCAGGCTTGCAAGCTGATTTGGGACTAGCGTAGAGGTGGTGCTTGGATCGCCACCATCGCTAGTTTCAGGCATGTCTTTCCACCTCCCTGGAACCTAGCAGCGTGAGCCTGCTGGCTCCGCTACCAATGTGAGTAGATCAAACTTCCCCACACTGGTAACGGGCCTCCTCCACCAGTTCCTCAACCAGATCACGGTCAGACTCTTTTCCCAAGCAGGTAAGAGTCCCTCGAACACACGGAGGCCAGCAAATCCCTAAATGAAATGGATGTATCTCCTCGCACCAATGTTTGGACCCCTGGTCCTTTGCAAGTTGTAAAGAGTGGCCACACTCGCCAATTGCTCAAACACGGATACCTATGGATTTTCCACCCACTTCCTCCCACAAGGGTTCGCCTGAACCAAAGGTGCTACAACAAGGATGCTGGAGTACCTGTTGGTGCATGGTGGTAAACATCGATCTGACTGAAGTGCAATGACATGGATTCACAATATATATATATAATTGTATATATAAGTATATATATTACATATATATATATATGTATATATATATAGAGATACAAAGGCTTTGTGACGGATTAGTAGACCCTGACTATTAGTTGGGTATCGCGACAAATTACTCTCAAACTGTGTAACCCCCCTTTGAATTTAAGAAACTGGGAGTTGTTTATCAGGGAATCTTCATCACCAACCCAATATTTGTTGGTTAAAAATTCCAAGACCACAGCAGAGGCTGAGGAACGGTGGAGCTTGCCCACTGCGCAACTTTGTGGAAGGCACGGCAGCGATGTTGGACTTTCAAAGCTACGTCACCTCACGTCAGCGCTGGAAGTTAGTTGTATAATATTACCCTCTGGTTATTTAACGTGGCTATGGAGACTCACCATTTCTAATAGGTAAATCATGAAAACTCATCTATAAATGGGCAATTTTCCATGGCTATGTTAAGTTCTAGATAATAAATAGAACATAATTTATAATATACCTACAATGTCTGGAAAACATCTTGATAATATCGAATGATTTACCAACCTGAAAAGTTCTGCCATTTTTTGGCGTCGCAGTGAGGTAGTTACAATTTATCAATGTATCCAGATATATGGAATATTCCCCAACATTAGATGGTTCGTAAATAACTGCCGGTTGATTCTTCTGGTCAAATAGGGTTCAATGGATTTCAATGGACTCCCCACTGCTGGGGATATGAATCATCCACAGGATCCATTGGGCAAATATTGGGCAGAAACTTTGGGCATCAGGGAAACCTTGGTCAGGGTAGCCAAAAAACCATACCACGGTAGGGGATTAGAGGGGGTGTAAGAGTTCGCAGCAGCCGTGTGACAGCAGAAACACAGCTCTAGCGCAGCGGCGTCACATGAGGAATAATGTGAGTGAAGCAATAGTAATCCATCCCCAAGTTTTACCAAAAATGGGTGTTATAAATAACCATCAAAATATGAGCGGTTTATTAATTTTATTCTTGCTCCACTAACATTACAAATTAGAAGATTCAATTGCTGGAGGACTCAGGAAATCTCCTACCAAAAGACCAGAAGGATCAAAACCTACCGGGGGATGAAACTCCACATAGCTGATGTACTGAGTAATGTACTGTATGTTCATACCCAAAAACCATCGCTTATCTTGGATGCCAAAAAAAACAGCTCAATAGTAAATCTCACATACTCGATCATACTCCATCCATCCCACTGGACCCTCCTTACCCGAAGATCCCGAAGCCCAGTAGCTGTGGGCATCTTCGATGACGTAGCCTCTGTTCCGTAGAAACGCGCTCGCCGCGCGTTCCAAGTTCAGCCGGTCCTCATGGACTGTCATGGAACCCGGAAGATGATCCTCTGGTTATCAAACGTGGCTGGAAAATTCCCTCTAAATTGTGGGTTTTAACGGGAAAATCCTCTATCAGTTGGGGATTTCCATTGCCAAGCTTGATTACCGGAGGGTACCCTCTGGTAAACTAACATAGCTATGGAAAAATCACCATTCTTAATGGGAAAATCAACTATGAATGGCCATTTTCAATAGCTACGTTAAATTACAGTACCAGAGGGTACCAGTATCTGGAACTGTTGACTTGTATGAAAGTCTCGCGTTTTTTCGCCAATGTCAGAAATCTATGCCAAACATCTCAGAACCATGGGGGTACAAGCACTGGAATGGCTAGCCATCCTTCACTGTATACTGGTATTGGATGGTATAGGTCATTTGTCGGTGAATGTCCAACAAAATGAACAAAGTGGACAGGACAATGTTGGGAAGGAGATTCTGGGTTCTGAACCCTAGCTCCATATCCATTCAAGTCCATTCTATCCTTTCTTGTTTGACTAAAACATAAACATCCACCTTGACTACATAGGATACGATTGAAGCAGACTTGTTTTTCTATGCCAGAACTGAAGGTTCCGGTTTTCAGGTAGAAACTCAAGCGTCCATTATGTTCATCCGTTTCACCTAATCTCGGTCGCATTTCAACCCTACGCCAACCCAAAAGTTCCTCCTGGTTCTCTAAGAGGCTCTCACCTCAGTATCTCGCAGGGAAGCCCGAAAGAGCTCAATCCTGAAACTAACATGTTGATTTGTAATAAACGATCATCTTTGCAAATTAAAGAATCACGATATACCACGATTGCTTGACCACCCGTTTTTCTATACTGCCTTCTCCATTTGCCATGAACCCACATTATCAGTGGTTAAACCCCCGATTCTCGAACGAAAGAGGCCGTTCTTGTGGTAGTCGACCCCCCATAACAGCTTGTTGATTAAATCAAGTCTTCATCTTCCTGATTCATGTTTGCGTCTGCGAGTCTATCTTCCCATGATCATGCTTCTCGCAATTACTTTACCCCCCGTCCGAGCGTTTGGTTTGCCTGAAAATGGGATAACCTCACATTCGATGGTTACGGCTAAACATCACTAGGCTAACGACTGGATAATTAGTGTGGATGAATCATGGACTTAGAAACAAACTTGTCACATGTATTTAAAAAAAATACAACCGCTGCACAATGGCCACGACTTGGGGGGGTTTGCCCCATTTTCACATCCCCTTTCAGATGGGGGGGTTGTCATCATCATGTTCCCTCAAAGAAAAAACATGAATTGGGTATACCCCCCCATATCTCCCATAGAAATATCCATATATCGAAAAAAATGCAGTTTGATATTTCATCGTTTTCCTTCAAGGTGTGGTGAAAGAGAGGAGGAATCGGGAGATAATAAGTGAAGAGATGTGGAGAGTAAGCCGCTGATATGGAGGTGTCCAATCCATGGGGGTACCCTCAAATCATCCAAGAGCCAAGATTAAACCATATCTATCCATATCTTGATTCTGAAAACCATTGAAAACCTATGACTTGGGGATCCATTTGAAGAAACCACCGATGTCAGGGATTGAACCAAGGCACTCTGAGGCTCTGGTAGATCCTCGGGAGGCGAAGCCGTGGTGGCCGCGGTGGCCATGGTGGCCGTGGTGGCGCCGCCGCCTTTTGGCCTCCTGAGGTGAACGGTGGGCCATGGAGGGTTCTGTGCGATTTCTATGGTTTTTCGGTTTTTCCAAAAAAAGGTGGTACATTTTTTTAGCCGGGAAAGTGATGATAAATCAAAGATCGGGCTCAAAATCCTGCTGTTTTCTTTGAGATGTGGAGATTAGGATAGATTGGGGGATGTTATTCTTGACGGGACAATGACGATAGCACCCTGGCTGAAAGCGGATGAAACAAGACATGGGGCAGAACTCCCAATATATCTGTGCCAATATTTAACAATCGGAAAAGGAGTCTCTAAACCGCTGGATGTTGATAGGGGGATTGAAAACCAGCAACGGTGTTCGGACTACAGGCCTGTGGGTTGCGCAAACAGCTTTATAAGCATGATTAGCTGGGTGAAGCAGCTGAGGAGGTAGAAAAGGTGAGTTATCCGCGAAACCGATAGGTAACCCATCCATGAAACCATCAACGTTTCTTGATTTATGTGGCTGAAAACGGCAATCCAGGCGAGCAATGATTTCTCTATAATTTGGCTCAACCGGCAATTCCAAGATTTGCGCCAAGTGTTGAAGATGTTTTTTTCGCCAATCCCAGGTTCGCAACTTATGGTGGCTGAAACCAGTCCGAAAAGCTACTGAGACTCAACTCAGCAGGCTCTCCTTGGCACAGCTCCTTCCTCATCTGAATCCAGAACGATCTGATTCTTCCGTTTCTCCTCCTGGGTCGAGTAGAATTTGGAATCCCTTAATTAAGGAGCTTTGACCAAACAAAAGGCACGAAAACGTGGTAAATCAGAAACAAAATCCGAACAGAACCCAGAAAGGATGGTTTTCTTTGGGGCTTGTGAAGGGTTACCGTTCATCAGACCTAGTAGATCGGAGGATGTTTATATGATGTACTGGACTCACAAGTATAGGAGGTTCCTGCAGAATCCCTTCAATCACTTCTTGGACTTGCAGCAGACATGCAAATTGAGATGTGAACTACTGACACACTTACCCAAACTGACGCGCACGGTTCCCATGTTGGGATTCCTGCATCCCGATGATCAAATGTCCATCTTATATCATAGGGTTCCTGATATTTCATCCGTAAACACAAACCTTCCGGTTGTTTCACCACGATTTCACCACCGTATCAGGTGATCGACATGTTTCAGCCCCCAGTGGGTCAAACAGACGCCTTCCGTGCGGAAAACCATCCAGCTGTTGTATTTGGAGATCTTGCTGCATCACTGTTGGGCACCCATGTACGGATGATATACGAAGGGGTTCCCATGGCAAACTCCAACTTCAGCCATCTGATTGGTGGTTTCAACCCATCCCAGAAATGTCATTACTAATTACCATCCTTCCAATTGTAGCCATGAATCCAACCCAAACTTGCCAAAGTTTGGAAAAGTGATTTCTTCAACCGAATTTCAACCATACGATTTTGTTTTGGTGGCTTTTTTTGAACATGTTCAAAGATGTTCAAAGCCTAGCCATGCCCACCACGCGCCTTGGGGGACATCTCCCCGGGCACTCGTCGCAAGTGGCGCGGGCCATGGTTGGACTCTGTCATCGGAGCACTGGATGGGGATGGGATGATGACCCCAAGAATTGCTGGGGTTGACCATGGTTTTTGATAATTCTTCGCGAGAACCAATTATATAATTCATTGACAGTAAAAAACAAAATGTTGGGAAAGCTCTAGTGGTTAAGAAAATAATGTTCCCGCTCCTCAAAATTGTCATTTGGGGGTGTATGCCCCATTTTCAGGCACTACAATGGACAATACTGTATTTGTATGTTGTATTTCAGTGTGAAGACTCTGGATGTTGATTCAGGAAATCGTTGGCAGGTCTAGTCATAGACTATGGCTGTCAGTCGACCCAGACGCCACGTGCATAGACGCTGGGAACGCATCTGGTAAGACCAGGGCTATGCAAATACTCCCAGTTGAATGGGATATAGATGTTTCCTAATATAGGGGTTATAAACTTATAGGGGTACCCCAAAATCATCCGTTTTAATGGGATTGTCCATTACAGTACAAACTTATAAACCCAGCCATTTGGAGGTACCCCCATTTATGGAAACCCCCATGTTGATTAGACCAGGGTAGGGTGGTTTCCAAACGGTTTCCTACCATGATATCCGGCTTGGATTCGCATGGTGGCCTGCTGGGCACCTGAGCCAAAGCTGCAACGAATCTCATCCACCGAAGATCAAATACCCCCCAGAAAAAATGGTTTCACATTGGATCTGTTCATTTCTGGAGGTCCATATGGGGGATGGTTGATGCTAAATTGGCTATAAGCCCCCATGATTTCAGGACGCTTCCACCACATGAAATATTATTAAACAAGAGATTTCATGGGGGTACGGATTATCAAGAACGACTTGCCATCTGCGAATGGTCCTGCTGAAGCCTCTCCGGGTCAAGCGCGAGTCTGATCTCTTGAGCTCGTAAAACATGCTGATCCTGGCGTGGAATGGAATGGAGCAAGGATGAAATAGAGACCCTTCGTGATGTGATAAACCAAATGATAAACCATACCACGTATTGCCAATGAATGGGTGTTAAAAACAAACCCCAAATCGTAGTTTATTATTCGGTTTTACAGTATTTGCCCGAATAGGTTGAGAAGACAAGAAAAAAAAGATGGTTTAGAACAGTTTCCCTAAATCCCTCATTTTTCTACACACCCAAATGGAGTAGACGGGAATGAAATGCAATCAGCGTTATATACTTCTCTGCCAGGAGAATGCTCCAGATTTGTTTAGAGTTTGAATGCTACCAGCTGCTGGTCCACTTCAGCATCCTAGCTTTGGGAGGTATCCAAACCCATCACCCCCCACCTCTTTGCATGGTGTACCATCAAGTGCTCCTGAGCAACCTAGCCAGGGAAATGGAAGGCTTGGAGTCGGGCTTTGGACTCACACCTCTGGTTCCAAACTGCCCGAAGACTACCATTTGATGGTC